GATGGGCAAGAACATGCTGCAGTTCTGAGAAAGCAGATACTCTGAGTAAGCAGGGAGGTGGTGAGCCTGGAGAGAAGATGAAAAGAAAGAAGCTGAGGCACAGTGAGAAGGGTTCTGCTTTGATTTCTATGGTTCCTTCAGAATACTTCCCTGAGGCCCGGCCCTACTGTGATTCCTACTGTCAGACTTCTACGAGTTGCTGCATTATTATAAACAAACAGAACAACCCTACCCTGAGCAAACCTCCGCTTCCTGTGATAAATTGGCCAAGAGTTACTGCGAATGATCTGGTGAGACATCTGGAAGACAGCAGCACTGTAACTAAGATCAGCAATATGCAGTCCCAAATTCAGTGTTTATTCCACTCCTTTTTAAAGCATCAGCTTAGGAAAAAAAGGGAAGGAAAGGTTATATCAATATTTCATTTGGGAGCGGAAGAATATTATGATGAGCTTCTTGTGTCGAAAACAGTCTTTATATAAAAACAACATATGTAATAACTTAATCAATAAAGAAATTAAAAAACAAATTGATCTTTGCAAATATAATTTCTGAAAGAAAAAGTAACTGCTGCTACAAATATCATATGAAAATGACTATACTAAGTGACATGACATTGTCTTATGCTTATCAACAGTGGTGTAATCAAACCACCTTCTAGAATCTATGCTGTGTTTCTAAATAGCTGCCTTTTGATTTGCCAGCTGTTGGGACCAGAGGGATTGATGAAAATCTCCAGGATTCTTAGTCACATGCCCACATTACTCTCTCAAATAAGAATGAATAAAGTAAATTTATGAATATTTATAGGTAAGAAATAACATTAGGCACATGTAATTCATATGTACTCTGAATATAGAATACAATCAGATAGCATCTTTATTTATGTCTCCCAGTATGTACTGAGTGGGGAATTTCCTACTCTGTTTAGGACAAAATTAAAACCAGGTAGTGTAAGGACTCTTAGCATTCTCAAGCAACAGAAAGTCCCATGGTCACTTCAAATTGGGTTATTGCATCTATTCCTAAGTCATAATAAAAACTTGACCTTGGTTTAAAATTAAGTCTCACCCTTAGCCCCGTGAGAAGCCATGTGCAGGTGGGAAGGTGTGGAAGGGGAGGTCTTTCTCTCCTTGCTCCTGGAAGCTTCTGATTCTTCTAGGGTTGGGATGGGAGAAGGTAGGAGACGTGGGGAGAAGCAGGAATACTGTCTGGTGAAGTGGTAAGATGGCCTTCAGCTTTCTGGGCCTGGTAAACATTTAGCAGACTACATTTCAAAGGGGCTTTTGCAGGTTCTTGGGAGATTGCATTCACAGCTGGGGATGTCTCAGCTGCAGTTCCCTGGATTCAGGCAAATGTGCTCTCCATTTAAGCCGCCACTTACTTCCTCAGCCCCTAGGAACCTAGTATTTTCCTTCTGCTCCCGCTCTTCTAAGGCTTGGCTGCACCTAAGGCTTCCCAAAGCCAGCCCTTGCTCATGACTGACCCAGATCTGATCCCCAAAGGAACACACACACACACACACACACACACACACACACACACACACACATCCTTCCTCTGGACATACTCGCAGCAACAGCAGCTCCCTTTCAATCTGTACCCAACGTGGCTTGCTAGCTTATCTTTCACATGATTTCCCAGAAGGGAACTGGACCACTGTGTTCTTCCTACCCAGAGACATATATTAAGCTATCTGTCCCTTCCTCTTGACATTAGGTGACCCCAACCTTTTACTTTGGTAGGAACTAAGAACACACCTTTAAAAATAAAATTCCACCAATAAAAAAATAAATATAGCCGAAACCGGTTTGGCTCAGTGGATAGAGCGTCGGCCTGTGGACCGAAAGGTCCCAGGTTCGATTCCGGTCAAGGGCATGTACCTGGGTTGCGGGCACATCCCCAGTAGGAGATGTGCAGGAGGCAGCTGATCAATGTTTCTCTCTCATCGATGTTTCTAACTCTCTATCTCTCTCCCTTCCTCTCTGTAAAAAATCAATAAAATATATTTTAAAAAATATATAAAAATATCCTCTCTCCAATCTCCAACAATCCTATGTGATCTAGTACTTCCTATGGAATGTAACACCTATTGTTTTTTGGTGCCTCAGCCAACACCGTAATTTTAAGACCTTTAGTATAATGGGTTTTTGTTTACTTGTTAAAAATCCTAAGGTCAGAAATTGGTTGTTTGGATGAAGTCCTCACACTCCCTATACACCTCCATTATACTCAGGCAAGAAGTGCTCCAAAAGAACAAACTCCAGGCTCTCTGGCCAGCCCCGCTTTCTGAATGGAACCCATGGATTCCCTGTCTCATACCTTAGCAGGTTTTGAAACTCTTGGAACTTTTCCAATTGATGGCCCAGAAGGACCGGCACCCTGGGAAATGGGTCACATAGCCTCATACTGCCTGTAGTAAGGAGGAGGAACACAGGGTGCCCAGCCACACAGGAATCAGGAGCCAGAGGGATGAGGCCAGGAAGCAAGGGAAGGACCACTTCAGGGAAAAAGTCACACATTTCATGAGGTCCTTGACAAGGTGGACCCTCATCAGTCTTGTCAGTCTCATCTCATTCATCCTTTCCCCTTCACTATAGCCACTCAAAACCACCTGCCATTTTCTAAATATGCCATGCCCTTCCACTTTTACCTTTTCCACCTGCTACTCATTCAGGATGGAATACCCTCCTCACTCTCAACCCCTCTCCCATTGCTTCTATTCAACGAGCAAGACCTAGTTTAAGTCTCTGGTTTTCTGTGAAGCCTTCTGCCACTTTCCCATCTGGCTGCTGTACCACTTTTTACATGTCTCAGTTGCAGCTCTCATGTCATTACATTGTAGCGCTTTATTAACTTGCTTTCTGCTCCCCAAGAGATAGTATCTCGAAGACAAGGACAGTACCTTATTTTTGTAATCCCACCACCTAAGATTGTGCTTCAGTGTTGTAGGGACTTCTATTGCTGTGTAAACACACATTTTTTATTTCATAGTTTCTGAAGGTCAGAAGTCTAGGCATGGCGTGGTTAGATTCTGAGCTGAAATCAAGGTGTTAGCGAGGGCTGTGATTCTCATTTGGAGCTCAGGATCCTCTTCTAGACTCACTGATTGTTGACAGAATTAATTTGCTTGCAGCTGTAGGACCGATGTCCCCATTTTTCTGCTAGCTGTTGGCCAAGAACTGCTCTCAGCTCCTAGAGGCTGCCCACAGTTTCTTGCCATGTGGCCCCATTAGACAGTTCACAGCACTGATGTTTACTCCCTTCCAAGCTAGCTGGAACATGTTTCTTTGATTTCCTCATCTATAATCAGCCAGAGAGAATTCTCTGCTTTTAAAGGGCTCACCTGATTAGGTAAGGCCCAACCAGGATTATCTACTTTTGCCATACAATGTAACATAATCACAGCAGTGATATTTCATCATATTCTTGAGTTCCACCCACACTTCAAGGGGAGGGAATACAATATGAGGGTTAATTGGGGTCAATTTTGCCTATCACAGAGCTCAATTAATATTTATAAAATCAAATAATATGTGTTCCAGAAATATATAAATTATAAACATTGCTACTCAATTGTAGTATTTTTTCTCTTATCTTGGAAGGTTTTTTAAGTTACTTCTTAATGTGTTGGATCCAGAATGGTTGAGTTTGCTCTATTTGAAATAACATGATACCCATGCTGTGAGCCGTAATTTAGAGTGGGTGGCAAGACCTGGTCTGACAGCTGACTGTGTGTCCTCAAGCTGTCCCTGAAACTCTCTGAATGTCAGATTACTCCTCATATATGACATTTTTTTAAAAAAAGTTTTTATTGATTTCAGAAAGAGGAAGGGAGAGGGAAAGAGAGATAGAAACATCAATGATGAGAATCATCAATCGGCTGCCTCCTGCATGCCCCCTTTTGGGGATTGAGCCCACAATCCAGCATGAGCCCTGACTGGGAATCCAACCATGTCGTCTGGTTCATAGGTTGATGCTCAACCACTGAGCAACACCAGCCTGGCCGTACTGGTCAAATTTAAATCTAGCCAAGGAACTCACAATATCCAAATTCATTAAAAGAGTTCATAGAAGAATTTCATTATTGATAAAATTGCAATGATATGACTTTAAGAGGAAAAGGCAGTTTTGTTTTTAAATAAACCCACTCCTATACTGGCCAAACCTGACTAAATATAAATGAGAGTACACAACTACATTTTTAATACTTCACATAAAATGGCAAAGAACATTTTGTTTTTAGATGACATATCTGTCCAGTTATGGTCACAAGTGAATTTTCCCTAAGATATTAAAACCTGATAAAACCACTGTTTCATAATAAGCTTAATTAACTCAATTGACGGTAACTGAAAAACTAACAAAGGCAGTACTCAGATATTACAAATCAACTGACTGACTACACGCAAAGCATGTTGAGATCCTTATATACATTTTGGGAGTTTATATTTTTCTTTTGTTTTTCTTAAATGAAGCTTTCTTTGGCTCAGATAATTATTCTCTCCTACCCAGAAAAATGAGCTCTAATTTTAAACAGGTATTATTAAGTTCCACCGAAACAGGCTTATGCAGATGTATTTGTTAAAACATCCCTTTATTGACTGTGCACAGTTATTAACAATTCACATTTCACTTTATCTACTGAGAGGAAGAGCGTTTATTCCTCCATTAAAAAGTTAAGCCCTCGGGGCAGCAGCAGGGATAGAGCCTTCTTCCTATAAATGGCCTTGTCCAATGAATGTGAAATGTTTCCATATTAATACAAATAACAAAAGAGAAAAAGAAATAAAACAAATGGATTTCTCCCACCCTCCCTGCCAACACACTCCTCTTATTTCATAAAATGCCAAAGGTAAACAGTTTTCACATTGGTACTTTCATCATTCAGAAGAGAAATGTCAACATTTATTTGGTACCACTAAGTTCAGACCTTATTAGGGCTGTGTGACAGTTGACAAAAAGAATACAAGGCCGTGGTCATTTCCTTGGGAATGGAAAATCACGAGGGCTTTCATCAGCCTCCAGTACCTTGCTGCTCAAGTTTCTGGAGCTGTTTTTCAAGTTTTGAGATGTTTACTCGATGCATCATCAGAAACTCGCCATTCAAATGAAAGACGGGGATGTCAAATTTATACCTCTCATACCAAACAGAGTTTTCTGGAAGTGTGATGTCCACCTCCTGTAAAATAAACTGAAACAGAGACAGACTAAAGCTCTATATTTTTGAGAACATGGAATGATGCAATAACTCTAGTGACAAACTGATCCTGAGACTGGTTCTAACGCTCAGAGGTTTTTGTTATTGTTGTTTGTTTGTGTGAGGTCCAAAGTAATCTAATGTCCCTGATTTCCACCACTTGGTTGATTTCATTATATTCCATAACTCCAGATTTTGCTACTTTTCTGTTATACCTGTCACATTCAGCGTCCAGGCACTACTCCATTCCCAATGAAATAAAATATGTCCTCACAGGGAAACTTCCTGAGAATCAGGAAAGACATGTTTTGGTTTTAAAAAATGTCATGCTTTACTACAGGTGAACCATGGAAATGACAAAATAAGAGAAAAGGAATAGGGACAAAAGTTTTGAAAAAGCATGAATACAGCACCTGATATTTAACTTTGACTCACATTAAGAATAAGGAAACAAGTACTGCTCAGAGAAACACCTAGGGGTAGTGATTTTTATGGAAATTAGCACTAACATCTCTCTCTCTGAAAATCAGAAAGAAAATGTAAGTGAAAAATCATTTACTCTCTTTTCCTAAAGAAAGGATCCAGATACCTTATATCCATTCCATATACATAAAGCCACACTGTACTACATTACCCTGTTTTTATAAGGCTCCAGCACTTCCTTAGCTTCATCACAAAGGGGACATGGATTCTACAGGAAGGAAAAATAAAGCCATGAAACCCAAGAATGGCAGCGACCTGACAAAAACCACAGAAGCAGATTATACGTATTTTAACAGGTTGTTTTCTACACTTTCATTTCCAAAATAAAACACTGTCATAGAATCTTATAAATAGCTAATATTTCATAGTAAATGGGCTTTCAGCATTTTCCAGTTGTTTTATTTTGATTTGTCTCCATAAATCAATCTACCTACCTAATAAATTTAGAGGTTTACATTTGTTACACATACGTGTGTATATACACATAACATATATGTACATAACAAATGTATCTATTTATTAGGTATGTATTACAGGTAGATATATAGATACATATGTACATATACACATACACAATACATTTAGATGCTTACATTTTTTTTGTCACTGGCTTCATCTAATTGATAGCTGGGAAAATTATTTTTCACTGATCTATACTCCAAGGAGTACCTCCCTGGCCTGGCTGACATCACCAGAGGGGCTAAAAGTCTATCTTGAATGGGGGACACTGAGTTTTGCCAGCCTGTTTCTCCTAATCCACAGGAATAAACCCACTAGGATAGAGTTAGATAATGCGTGTCCCATCTTTAAAAAGGGAAAAATATTTCAGATGATGAATGTACCAACTCTTTAATGTCTTGTCTCTTCCTCATTATAAGTGTCAGTAATAGGTTTTCCAGATAATTCTCCACCTGAGAAGCAAGCACATTTTAGTGCCTGTTGTTGTTTGTACTCTAACCACATAGTAGAGGAGTCTGTTGAGAATGCTATGGATTGTTGGCAGATTTTAAAGGCTTCTCAGGACTAGATTTCATGAATAGGAACTAGCTATAGGTTCTCTTGCAATGAGCTAAGAATATACTCAACATTATTGGTGCTTATATAAAACTAGATGCCCGGTGCACGAAATTTGTGCACAGGTAGGGTCCCTAGGCCTTGCCAGTGATCAGGGCCAATCTGTGGGGTGACTGGTGGGGCAATTGGGGGGCCCCTATTGGCACCTGCCTTGGCTGGCCTGGCACCACCCACTCGCTGGCCTCGCTCTCCACCGCTGGTCGCCTCCCTCTGTGGGGTGACTGGTGGGGTGATCAGGGGGGCCCCACTGGCACCTGCCTTGGCTGGCCTGGGGTCTGTGGGCTGGGGGCAGCTCCTGTGTTGAGCGTCTGCCCCCTGGTTGTCAGTATGTGTTATAGTGACTGGTTGTTCCACTGGTTGTTCCGTCGTTCGGTCAATTTGCATATTAGGCTTTTATTATATAGGACTAGAGGCCCGGTGCATGAATTCATGCATGAATTCATGCATGGGTGGGGTTCGGCTGGCCAGCCCCAATTGGGGCCAATCAGGCCGTGCTGGCCTGGGGGAGGGGCTGCGGGCAGTTGGTGGGCCGGCCCCGCTCCATGGTCGAACTCCTGGTCAAGGGGACAATTTGCATATTAGCCTTTTATTATATAGGATCTGCTTTTTAACATGACAGGAAGAGATAAGCTCTTATGTAAAAGAAAGGCCCTTCCTCCAGCTTAACTCACAGCTTTTTTTTAAACTAAGATTTAATGTACATTTATTCCTAACACATGAAACATATAATATAAAGATTTCATACTGAATAAATTATATTCATTAAGCAACAAAGGAGGAATTTACATCAACTTAACTAGATTGTTTGACATACAAATATACAAATTTTTATCACTGAAAAAATTTCAATTGTGGTTCTTCACCAGGAACTTCAACTGAATGTAGAACTTTTCACACCTCCATTAGAAAGAAAACAAAAACCCAGAAAAAAACAACAATCTATAAATTGATTGGCTGCTGAGACAGCAAGGACTTTTTACAGAAACCTGTATAATTCCACCAAGAGGCGTGATATCTGGCAAGAGATTAAATAGCTGGGTCTCACTTTGTGTAGGCCATCACTTGATAACTCATCATACTATAAAGGGGAAGCTGGGAGGGTGACCAAACTGTGGGGATCCGAGGGTATGTGCAATGAGTACAACATCATATATATGCACACATGTCCAAGGGTATGTGCAATGTACATACCATATATATATGCGGCAGCACAGTTGCTGCAGCTAAAGGTTATATGCGGCAGCACAGTTGCTGCAGCTAAAGGTTAAAACCAGTTCTAAGAGGTGCTCTCAGGGTGTTGTAGGTTCACGCATGATACTCCGGGGAAAAGCCGCCCGCCTTTTTTCTCCTTTATATTTAACTAAAAACATTTTAAAAAGCTTGCTGCTAACCCATGATTTTTCTCGTGTCCATATGAGACATTGTTATTATAGTATGTTTACAGTATCCATATGAGACATTGTTATTATAGTATGTTTACAGTATCAGGTGCACAGTTCAGTACACAAGAGGGTTTACACTCTTCTGCACAGGCCTCACCAGTGAATAGGGTCTGCCCACACCTGTGAACTTCTCAGTTCCTGCAAGACTGTGAATGTACGACAATAAACCACACACACTTCGACAGCCACATATTTTTGTCCTTCAAGGTGTGTTTTTTTTCTCCTTGTTTTTTTTTTTTACAACCATTAAAGTTATGAAATGTGGTAGCCTATTGATGCAAGGACTATGAAAATTATTTTTATCTTATATTTCCCCAAACTCACTGTAAATGACAGTAACTTTAGTTAAAATAAAAAGTCTTCTTTGTAGGCAGAGCTTTGTCTTTTCAAATAGGGTGCAGTCCTGAGACTCACAGCTTATTTCAAAATAAGGACCCACATCATCAAAAGTCAGTTTTCCTTCAGAAGGATCTTTCTGGCCCTAATTTCCTGGTTCAGAGAATTAGGCTCATGCCGTTACTATGAGCATCATTAATAAACAGATTACGAATGGTCTGTGATATGTTGAGATAATCATGTTGACATTTTTCTGAGAAAGTTTCAAAAAGTCAATAGAAGTTCTTAAAGGAAAAACAAGAACAAGCTAAGTAGCAGAAATACCACATTACTAACATTTTGCTTTTATAATAAAACACTTTAATCGAGCCTAGATCAGGGTTTTTCTTGTTTTGTTTTTAAAAGCTAATATCCATAGAAGTTTGTGCAAATTATCGTGTGTGTGTGTGTGTGTGTGTGTGTGTGTGTGTGTGTGTGTTTATGAGAAAAGGTCTATCAAATTTTGAAGAAGTCTATGAACTGAAAAAGGGTAAGACTCAGTGGTCTGGACCATTCAAACATCCTTGTCTAGGATTTTCTATGGCACCAATAGAACACTTATTTACTCTAGCCCTGAAATATAACAAACATTTGTTGGGTTGGTTGTCCACCACTCACACCCCTTGCAGCAAGAATGCTGTAATTTTGCCTCACAGGAACTGCTCTCAGCATGTGGTGGACTCCATTCCTGAGAAACAAGGCAATCAGCAAGCACATCCTATCCCTTTGGCTAAAATGGAATGGCCCAGGGATTGGGCAGATCAGAGCCAATAGATAGCTATGAGGCTTTTGCTGGAGTTTCTGATACCCAAGCTGTGAGATCTGGGGCTTGGCATCACTGCAGTCATTCATGAGAAGAGGCAGAGTCAAGACAGATTTAACCCAGAGGATGTGAACTGAAGAGATTGGCAATTGCTTAGTTTTAGAATGAAGCTACCCCTGAAACCAGATCAAGCCATAAAATCCCTTTTTTGTTTAAGCCACTCTGGGACGTACTTTTTATTATTTATAACTGAAAGAGAGCTAATACTGTGCTTTTTCTTTGGATTGTGAACTCCTGAAGGTGAGAGTGATATTATATGCCTAATGACACATATAAAGAGTTCAGTACAAAATTTAAGCTGAATGGAAGATTAGTGTGTGTGTTTTTGCAAATGTTTTCAGCTAACTTGGCTGTTGCTCAAACGGAAAAATAGTGCAGAATTGTTAGGCTGAGTGAGCACCATTTGCTTTAGGGATTATTTTATTTTTGTGGTTAATTCTCACATGCATTTCTCATATATAGACACAGATGATGAAATAGTTTTGTTCCATAATTTCCAACAGTGCGGTATATACTCATGGATATGAAAAGTAGTTTAGAGTAACTATTCTCAATGAGATATTAATTTTTAAAAGTTTTTAAAGCTTTCCTGTTAGATAACCATCAGATATTTTTAAATTGTTAAAATGCCCGAATTATGAAAAATCTATTAAACACAATGCTTTTTTTGTTTGAATTGCAGTATTATTCACTAAAGTTAATTCTATTACCCTGCACTTTATTTCTTTTTTTGATTATAAATCACACAAAGTAATGTTAACTAGCAAAAGAAAATCAGCAATGCTTGTATTATAAATATCAGGGGGGAAAGCTCTTAAAAATTTAAACTACTTTTATACTTTAAGATTAGTGTGTGTGTATTTTAAACTACTTTTATACTTTAAAAGTAGTGTCAGGGATAAGAAAACACAGTCAATCCTCATTATTTGTGGATTCTGTGTTTGTGAGTTCACTTATTCACTAAAACTTATTTGTAACCCCAAGATCAATACTCATGGACCTTTTGTAATCATTCACAGACATGCATGTGTACAGAACAGAGCACATTTTGAGTTACATTCCAGCTGAGATTGAACAAGATGATGCTCTGCCTCCTTGTTTCAGCTCATATGTGTAAACGAGCGTCCTTCTCATGATCTGTTTAGTGCCATTTATTTTTTTATTTTTTGTGCTTCCTGTTAATAGTGTTGAGGTGCTGTCTAATGCTTCTAAGCACAGGCTTGGATGTGCCTTATGGAGAAAATATTGTGTTAGATAAGCTATGTTCAGACATGAGTTATAGTGCTGTTGGCTGTGAGTTCAATATTAATGAATCAACAACATGTATTAAACAAGGTGTCTTTAAACAGAACAAGGTTATGTACTGATTGGTTGATAAAAATGTCTTTAAAAAACAAGGTTATGTACTGATTGGTTGACAAAAATGTTAACAGAAGCTCATAGGAATCTAACCCTGTATTTTCCCTAGGAACAAAGGTCCAGCATTTGCTAATTCAGTGTTTTTGGTGACTTTATAGAACATAACTATCACAAATAATAAGAACTAAGTTTCCAAGTGATACATCTATAAACATCATATTATAATCTGATAGTTTTTTCTTTCAATGTAGGGTTCTCAGATAACTACTAGATATATTAATTTAACCTCTAATTGTGAGACAATGAGGTATCTGGGGAGGAAATAGAGTTACTACTGCTGATACTGAAACTGAAAAACTGAGGAATGGGTCCGAAGAATGTTTATTCCTTTACTTTCAACCTCTCTCTTCCTTATTTTCTTCACCCAATGATTTGAATACTTTATGTTTTTAAAGCAGTAATTTTATTTTTCACTCTACCTTTGTGAATAAGGTCAGCACAGGCAGAATAGTCCTAGAGGCAGAGTGATTTCTCAGGAAGAGTCTAAAGGAGTACTTGGCAAATTGTATGCTGTTTCCTTGAAACCAGAGCATCTTGCTTCTGCCAAAAGAAAAACAAACCAATAAACGTAGGTGCTCTACACTTTGCTCTTTATAATATGAACAGTAAGCTGCAAGCCTGTGATGGAATTTGAAGATTTCAGAATTGCTTTTTGAAGTCAAGGAGTGTCAGATGTTTGGCAAATCTCCACCATGCCTGCACACTCACTGTATTCCAAACAAAACCAAATTTAGAATGGGGGGAAAAATCCATACTTATGGATTAGCTGTGTAGCTAATCACTTGGTTTCTGTAAGCAAACTGCATGGGTTCATTTGAATACAAAATTAAATCTTACCTGCAGATTTTGCCAGCATCCTGATGATCCCCTAAAATGTGGACTTTCCTGAGATGAATTTTACTCTCTGAGATAGCTTATCTTATTAGCAAGCATTCACCAACACCCAGCCATAAGTAAGCAGCACAAGTCCCCAGCTGAAGGTCATGAGATCTATGCCCCTCTGCGAGGATGGGAAACAGTTGTACAGAGGAACTATAGGGGAGAATTAGATCGAGTTAACTTGTCAGAAACAAAAATTTACTCTCAACTTCTCAAGAAGTACTTTAAAAGAAGATTGCCATCATTTTTGAAAACATACAAATATGCTAGTGTTTCTACTGGAAATATTCCAGGAAGAGCAGTTTGATAATAGCTTCATGTCAAACACTAGGCTGTGAAGCTCCCTCATGCTGCTACTTTGTTTGACATAAGACACCCTAGTTATTCCTAGTTATCCTCCATCTTTGTCCTTAAAACTACAAATAGGATCATTTCACTTTTAACTGTTGAGTTTATCATTTACCAATATCCCCAAGATGAATTCATTCTTGGAATATTCATAACTTTGCTTTACTCCTAGCTCTTCAACTTCATCTATCACCTTCCCCTCCTTTATCTTGGCAAGTTGCAGACACAAAGATTCTCTTTCTGTTCCTTGAATGACCAAAGATAATTCCTTCATCAGGATCTCTGCACTTGCTGTCCCTTTGTATGAAAAGCCCTGAAGTAGCTTCTCCTCACTTGGTCTGGGCTCATGCCACCTCCTTAGAGATGCCTTAGTGACTTTCTTACAATTATTATTGGTCAGCCCACTACCCTCTTTCTTCATACTTGCTATAGTTTTTTTTATACTTTACTATCTAAAATTTTTTCTTTACCTATATGACCCTTATACATAATGTGATTTCCATAAGAGCAGGTACTGTTCACCCAGTATCCCCAAGCATCTACAATTAACCTGGTGCATAGTAGGTGTTCATATATTTCTTTGAATGTTGAAAGTATTGAAGTGAGTCTTTCTCCCCCTCTTTAGTCTCACCTCTAACCCTGATCAGACATTCAGTGTGTACAGAGTCACTATTTGGGCAGATGTCATATCATAACTAAAGGTTAGTGCTCCACAGTGTCCATAAAATTGTGGGTGAGGGTGCTGCGGCTGATTCCAGCCCCTTCACCACCACCTCAAATCTCCCCCTGCACTGCTCCACAGCAAAACCGTATTAATCACATGCTAATCCCTACTGGTTACCAGGCTTCTCAGTATAAGATTAGCCTTAAACTCATTTCAGACAGAATGATAAGAGACTTTAAAGAAAAACACCAATCCATATCAAACTAGAATAAAGACCACAGGACAAAAAGATTTGATCCTAATCTGTGAAAACAACAACCTTTCCTTCACTCTTAAACCCTTAGTCTTCTACTTCTCCCTAAATCTCCCTGCTTACTAAATAATCATTATGCATAAACAAAGAATGTGATGAGAATTTTGCAAGGATCTGCTACCCAGCATTACTCTAAGGTGGAAAATATATCTAAATAATTTCATGATATGCTGTGCCACTCGCAACAAATGTAAAGCCCTGATATACACACTTTCCATAAATTCAGAAGAATCAACAACTCTAAAAGGTGAATGTAATTGGAGACAACAGCTGCTAAACATGGCTTTGTCTACCCAGGATATAAACGAGGGGGAAAGTTGAATGTTAGCCATGTTTATACTAGGTGGAAATGTCTGCATCATTGAGAAGGCCCAATGCCATCAGTATCACATCTTTGTAGGGTATGGAGTTAAGGAAGCTGCACTATATGGAGGATAAAGGAAATTAACAGTTTTGTTGGAATAAAGGCAGAAAGATAGCCCTTGGAAATAAGAAGAATCAGGCCATCTACAACTGTGACGTGAGACTTCAACTAGGACATTGAACTGCCTGACATGTTTTTGGTGGAGGGATTTAAGATTTATTGATGTCTGGCTGGTAAGGAAAGGAAAATGTATTGCTTTTACCTAGCTGAGTTGAGACTAAGGTGTTAAAGCTTGAAAAAACAATTCACATTCACAATGGAAATCTGCTTCAGTATTTCCAACATGACAAAACACAGCATGTGGTCTTGGTTGTGCCCAAGACAAATAAAGCCTGTCATAGTAAAAAGAGTTGCTATTCATTCCAGATTTGCTGGAATATTTGTTCAACCAACCCAGAGTGCTAAGTAAAGTCTTCAGTGATGCTACAACTAGTCTGTTTAAAATGAGTTCTCTTTTGTACTGCTAATCTTCATTTCTACTTTCTGTATGTATTTAATCACTTAAACACTGCATATTTATTTACTGAGCAATACTTTAGCATTATGTAATTTTTACTATCTGCATATTTTCCAAATGTCCTAAGGCACATGCATTTTACCATATTGTTAAGTTAACTTATTCCTTTATATGATAAAATTATATTAGAGCCCGATATAAAGAAAAAGTTCCATATACCTCTCCTAGGCAGAACTAAGACATTCAGGCTAAAATTCTGAACACTGGAGTCCACTTAGTTCTAGAAATAAAAGGTAAGATGAAAAAATTATACACTCCAACCGAAACTCTATAATATTCTTCTTAGAATATTTTATTAACTTTGTAAACCTAACACCATTGCTGTCAAAGTCACATTCACCTAGTCATGCCTTCTTGAAGTAAAATCTTAATACGGGCTACTCTGTCAATGTGACATTTTCATTAGTTCTATTATTTTTTAACAGTATCTCAGCACTATAAAAATATTCTGAAAGGCAGTCTCTGGCTGTTAGCTCATGACTGTGAGAGGACAACACCTTTTTGATTATGTCATTGAATTTAGTCATGAAGTATGTGTCCTTACTACACAGAGACATAACTTTATCCTTTGTATTTTGTTACATGCCTCTGTGATACGAGCAAAAAGAGCTGTGTTCATAATATCAAAGAATCACAATTGGGTCACCTTTGTCACATAAAAAAAAAAAAGCAAGAGGCATAAGACTGGATTTAGAATGTGCCTAAAACAAATTGCACAGCCGAACAATAAAGATGGTGACTCCTGCTGGTTCAAGTCCACTGCCGCTCAGGGGCACATCACCCTGAAAGAGAAAGGGAATGCTGGCTTTTAACAAAACTGAGGCTGACTTCAGTGGTCTTTATAGCAGAATCAAGTACAACATGGGGGGAGGATTGATTGGACCAATTCAGCCCTCCTTGAAGTAAGATGAAGATAACTTAACTCTATAGCATTTTCCCTGTGAAGCACTGAAGGCATACCATTAAAGCAACTGATTAGAGTACAGAAAAAAGCCAGGGTCATTTGAGCCTCTATTAAGGATTATTCATTTCTTGCATGAGACGCTGACCAGACTATGGCTACACATCACTTATATGGGACTCTTGGAGTCTTCAAACACTGTGTGTGTCTGATTAGAAGGGAAATAACATTGTTCTCGCTTGAGTAGAGAAACTGACCTTCACTGACCAGAATTTTTATTCATACAAAGAATCCTTTGGCACACCAAATCTCCAAGCTCACATAATCCCTCATCAGCAAGCCGCAGTGTTAGTTCATGTGCAAAATCAAAAAGTCTATCTAAGCCCAAGTACCACCTTGGTTATTAGCAGGTAATGTTGGAGCTTCTTCACAAGAGTATAATGTAAATTTAATGCTGTACTGACATTAACCAAACACTATTACCGTGGCTCTCACTGAACCTGTTCCATAAAGAGAGGCTCAGGGCTTCCATTTAGCCATTTGTGCCATGTGAGATGTTAAGTGCCCATTTCACATTCATTACCATCTAAGTATAACATTCCTATTTTATCCAGATGACTAGAAACACACACACACACACACACACACACACAAACACACACACACACCCCTATTGGGAACAAAACCTATTACAGGCAGTCCTCGGGTTACGTCAGACTCAACATGTCGTTTCGTGGTTACATCGCAATCTCCCATTTACAGTATTTATAAAAAAAAATGTTCTGTCATTTCAACGTATGTACATATGTGCTTTGTGTTTTTTATTATTTATTTATCACAAGAAAAGGTCAGAAATTGTTATCTTTCTTTTAAATTTTTTTTTTACTGTTTCAGTTTATTACTGCTGTGTATGTGCTCCATGTGAGTGACGTAGGTGCTTATGTAGGTGGGTTCCGACTTATGGTGAAAATCAAGTTACTCGCGCTGTAGGAAAGGATCTCCAACGTAACCCGAGGACTGCCTGTATTTTAGACTAGAGGCCTGGTGCACAAAATTTGTGCATGGGTAGGGTCCCTAAGCCTGGCCGGCGATCAGGGCTGATCTGTGGGGCGACCGGCGGGGCGATTGGGGGCCCCCTCCCCGCTGGCATCTGCTTTGGCTGGCGGCCTGGTGCCGCCTGCTCGCTGGCCCTGCCCCCCCGCTGACTGGTTTTTCCGCAGGTCGTTCTGCTGTTCGGTCAATTTGCATATTAGGGTTTTATATAGATAGATCACTGAAAGTGTATGTAAATGATGTGGGGTTGCTCTTAGGGACTCTGGGTCGCTGGGTTCTACCTAATCCAGGGAAACAGGGACAAATGCTCCTATGTGCATTTTGGTCAGTCAGCTATGTCCAAACATCTCTCTCCTCAAACAAGTGGCTGCCTAGCCTGGGATCTTGGTTACAAGTTTAGAGCCAAGAGTGACAAGGAGAGGCAGCATGCAAAGCTGAAAACTGAGCAGATACTTTGAGATGTCAATTCCAAGGGACTAAGCAGGGCTAGAATGAGTCAACAGAACAGAAACAGGGGGTGGGGGTGGAAGGCCTAACCTGGAGAGGGGCCCTCACCTCAGCCTCAGGAGTCAGGATACCTGGTCAGAGGAACTGCCTAGGAAGTGGAGGCAACTCAGACAAGCTGTTGCAACAAAGACCCTGAGCTAACCACCCACTTGTGGGCCCATTTGTGCATGGCCTCATGTTCAGCTTCATTCATTCTTCCTTTTTTTTTTAATTGAGGTATATTTGACATATAACATTACATTAGTTTCAGCTGTCCAACATAATGATTTGACATTGCAAAATGATCACCCAGCCCTGGGGAGCGAGAAGCAGCCTTTCACACCATACGTCCACCACACTCCCTGCAGCTTCTACTTCCAGATTTCAGTGCCGGTAGGTTCACCACACAGCAGGCCAGAGAAGCCAGTAGGGAACCAGTCCGAGAAAGGAATGAGTGGTCACAGACAAGCCTAGAGACAAAAATCCCTTTGCATTTCCCTTCTAATTATTACCATGACTGTGGGATTTTCAAGTGTCTATTCCTCAGTTTGTACACATCAGGTGCTACGTTAATTTACATTCAACACACTGCTCTGTGAAAAGGTTCTTTAACTGTTTGAAGTGTGGGCCTTGCCTATCTGGTAAGATTATAGTTTAACTGATGGTATACAGCATTTAGTATATGCACTGTGCCCCCATATCCCACACCCTTCAAATTCTCAGTAAAATTAAGCCATATTTTTTTTTCTTCATCCTGTTTGATGTTTAGCCCATTTCTTTCCCTCCAAATAAAACTCTCACATGAAGGAATCAACTCCACATACTAGTTACAAACAACAAGAATCGTGGAGAGATGTACTTCATTGGATTCAGTAGAAAAAAGTTAAACTCTTTTTTAAATTAAAAAAAATTTAATTAAATTTATCGGGGTGACAGGGAGTTAAATCTTAACTGAAATAATGTAAATATAGGAGATTACGACAGGGATATCTAATGGGCTACTGTAAATGTTATGAGAAAGGAAGAGAAGAGCACCATGGGCTGAGATTGGAGGTGCTTCCACTAGAGGAGGATCCTAAATCATGGAGGATTTGGATGTTAAAAAAAAGGGGGGAAGCACCCAAAGTTGGGGTTAGACACAAAGGCGCTGAGTAGGAATGCTGAGGTTTGTTTGATGGGAGCCACTGAAGCGTTTTGAACAAGAATGTGATGTGATAAAATCAGTTTTGGAAGACTGATCTGGCAGCAGCATGCAGGATAGATTGCAGAGAAAAGGAGAATGGAGGTGGGAAAGAGTTAGGGGCCAATTATGGCAATTTAGGTGTGGGATGAGAGTCATTCATTTATTCATTCAAGTTATCTGATGTTTCCCATGTATTAGATGCTATTATAGATGCTGGTTTCCATGGTGAACAAGAAAGCAAAGTATCTTCAACAATAAAGAATTAAAAAAGAAAACAAAGTATCTGCCCTCATGGGGTCCATATTCTAGTGACACTAAAGAGTCTCTTTAATGCCAGACAGCATCAGATGGTGATAAATAGAGAGGGGGGGAGGGAGTAAAACAGGGTGATGTGCTATTGATAAGACAGGTCCTTTAATTAGGTACTCTGAGGCTAAAGGAAGAGGAACATTTGAAGGAGGAGCATTTAGGGTAGTACAAAAGCTTCAAGGTGAGCACTACCTTGGCTTATTAAAAAAATAAAAATGATTGAGTGGCTGAAGCACAATAAACAAGGGGAAGAGTGGCAGGAGACAGGGTTCAAAAACAGTCTCTGGGGATTGTATCACTTAAGGCCTTGTGGGCTCTGTTAGGGAACACGGTTTTATTAAGTACAATTAGATTTAGAGGAGGGAAGTAACATGATCTCAGATATATTTTTTACAAGATCCCTTTAGCAGCTGTCTGAAGAATAAATTGTTGGGGAACAAGAGTGGAAGCAGGGACTCAGTTAGGGGGCTAGTGCAGTAGCCTGGGTGAGAAGGGTGTGGATGAGGGCAGAAATAGGGTCAACGAGCCTTGACAATGATTTGGATATGAGGAATGAAAAGATGATGGTAAGGACATTGCCAGTTTTTGGCCTTGAGCCTCTGGTGGGGGCTGTGCCATTTACTAAAATGAGGACAACTGAGGCAGGAAGAGGTTGAGAAATGTCTGGAACCCAGACCTCAATGAGGGACAAGTAGAGAGTGGCATGTGCAGGTTTTGTAGTCAGGAGAGAAGCCAGAGCTAAAGATAAAATTGAAGACTCCATCAGTTTAGGATTTGTATTTACATGTAGGAAACTAGATGAGATCATTGAAATAATAATATAGAAAAAGACAGGACAGATCTCTGAGGAAATCCAACATTTAGAAGTTGGGTAGAGAGGAGCCAGCAAAGTAGGCAGAATAAAAAGTTGGTGAGGTAGGATGCAAACCAGGAAAGTGTCATCACAGAAACCAAGGGGGGGAAGTGTTTCCAGAATGAGGGCCCATTGTCAAAAAGAGTGATGAGTGCTCGGACTAGAAAAGGGATAGTGAAAGAATCTGCCACAAGTCAGATATGTCTGCTGCTGCTGCTGCAAATGAATGAAATCTTCCAACCAATGCCTACCCCTAAAATGAAATACCTGTCTGGTTCTTGCCTAATATAACTTATTAACTAAAAATAGATATTTTGGTGAGGATGTAGGCTGTGCATTGGGGGAGAAGAGTAAAGGCAAAAGGTGATTGAGTGTCTTAAAAAGAGACAATAAAAGTAAAAACATTTGTATAAATTTGAAGCAGAATAGAGAAATAAGGCTTAATATTTTATTACTAAGTAATACTACAAGTAAGGTATTGTTATTAATACTAGTATTAATGATGATGATGGATCTATTGACTGAAATGTGCTTTCAACTCAAATGGAAGATTTAAATCACAAGTATAGCAGTCTCAGAAATAGGGAATTACAAAACTGAAAAATATTTCAAACAAATAGTTGAAGATTTAGGATTGTGGACATTACTGAAATACAAATTTCTAAGACAGGCTATCACTAATTAAAGAACCAACGTATTTATCTTCTATTATGGATGTCACTAGGTGATGATTTCATAGAGGTAAACCCCAAAAGACAGGCAACTGCCACTAAGTAGTTCGGAGATGCTAGGCAATTATTCATCTCTTTAAGGCTCAGTTTTATCTTTACTGTAAAATGGAAAGGCTATGCCTCGTTCTGTTCTCTTATTTAACTGAGACCTGGAGAAACTGTGCCCATAGGCTTTGGGAACCAAATGTCCTCCTGATCAGGGAAGGGAAAATCACAAGCAGAAGAAATGCCATGGCAATAATCCAAAACTTCAGAAGGCCCAGAAC